TCTATTTTATCAAATTCAGTAGTTAGTAGTATTAGTTATTCAATTAGTTATTAGTGATAAGCATAAGTGAATATCAAAAACAGTAGTTAAGTTTGTGTACTATATTTAATTTTAATTTTACAAAGTGTTGTAGTTATTATATTATTTTTGTATACTGTAAAATTTGTGCCTTATACACGGCCTTGCAGAAAAACAACTGCTAGTTGAGCCAAGTTTCCGTGTTGAAATAAAAGCTTATTATTATTTTTGGAGTGGTCGATATCAAAAACACAAATTGCAATTCCCATAGCCTTGACACTTGTTGGAAAGTTGAAGTTAAAATTTAATGTTTAGTTTCAACAGAAAATAACTGACATCAGATACTTGCAGAGCCTTCGCTTCAAAATTCAGTTAATCTGTTAAAAACAATCAAAAACAATATAGGTCTAGAGATAAAAAGCAGTTTGATATAGTGATACTGATGATATAATAATAATCATTCATTAATTATCAACAATAATTAATTAAACAGTACTACTAGGCCTAGCATGCCTTTTATCTAGGGCTAGGCCTAGACTAAAGGCCTAGAGATATAGCCTAGCCTTCCCTATGCTAGGCCTCTGGGCTCACATAGGCCTACCAATACTAGCCTAGGCCTAGTACTAGTAATACAAATTGTATCCACCTGCTGGCCTAGGTAGGCCATTATACTATCTAAATCAACAAATTTAAATTTAAAAAAAATAAAAAAGTTTAAAACAAATATGAAATAATCTGAACTAAGCTTGGCCTAATCATTACCCTGTTATTATTGAGTTAGGCTGTGCTAGCATAGCCTAGGCTTGGACAGGCCTAACGATATGGCATGTAGCAGACAAAGCCAGCCCCACCTATACAGCCATATCTACCCATCCTGAAGGCCTCCATGCCCTGAGGAAGGCTATACACTGCACTATTCTAGGCCCCATTCCCTCAGGTCACCCATGGCATTTGGCTGGCAATGTTCGATTTTTAAATTCAATTTCTAATTAATCTAAACCAATAATCATTTCAAAAAAAGTCTAAGAAAGGACCAGGCTTAGTATTGTATTAAATAGTTTAGGAATTTGAACACAAAATTGATAAAAATACTTACTTTTTATGAACAAAAACAACTTAGAGCAGGACAGCCTGTCATATTCTCTCACCCATTGTGCAAAAATGGCGCATTTTAACTTTATAACTTTTATCACGCAGTTGTCCAGAAACCTGTTAATACTGCATTCTGATTGGTCAAATAAATCCCAATTGGAATTAACACAATCCAATTGGATAATTGTTATCCAATTGGAATTTAAAGACAATCCAATTGGATATTTGTTATCCTATTGGAATTTTAAAACAATCCAATTGGATATTTGCTATCCAATTGGAATTTCAAGACAATCCAATTGGATATTTCTTATCCAATTGGAATTTAAAGGCAATTCAATTGGATATTTCTTATCCAATTGGAATAAGTAAAAATTCCAATTGGATATTTATAATCCAATTGGAAATCTGTTCCAATTGGATTTGTTTTTTTTAGTTCAATTGGTATTTGTTATCAAATTGGATTTTAAAAAAAATTTCAATTGGATTTCAATTTCAATTAATTGTCCAATTGGATTTTTCCAATTTCTAATTGGTCATTTGTCATCCAATTTATTCCAATTGGATTTATAAAAAAAATCATATTGGACATTTGTTATCCAATTGATCTCAATAGGATTTTTTCCAAAATTCCAATTGGAATATTTTTTTCTTAATTGGAACCAATTGGATCCAATTAATTCCAATTACAATCCAACTGACTCATATTGAATCCAATTCAATTTCCAATTGGAATGAATTGGTCATTTTCGTAAGGGTCATACCTCACGGTCGGTTCGGTTGTTGTTTGTTGGCCTTTCCCTACCATTGTTGAAAGACAAGTTCTGATTGGGTGATTGTGAGTCGATTACAGCTTTATTTTTTTTTCATCAAGTCAATCGCTGATTGGCCACAGAAGTTTTTCGGAGGATTTCGGAAACATCTTCGTCTGTGTGGTCTATGCACGCGTGTGGTCAGAGCGGTAAAAATTTATCCCCCCGACTTGCCCCGACCCCTTCTTTCCATCATCGTTCCGTTCGTTAACAAGAAGAATGTCTAATATTAATAAAGATAAAGATAAACTGAAGCGACCCACAGGCTTATTTGCCTTTGGCATCGTAAAAAAA